TTTACCTGATATGATAAATCGTTTTTCGGGGGCGGAATTCATTATCGCACACCAAGATCAACTTGAAGACGTCCCTACACCGAGATCTTCACCGTCCGTCATCACGCAATGCGACACAGCGGGGGTCAGAAGGACCGAACGAGGGGGGCGTTTTTTTCTAATATCTGAAATACCCGACGCTTTTCTTGATTTAACAGAACAATTAAAAAGCGATTAAGCCAAGTATCTACACCTTCGCAGTAGAAATGTCACAGACGCGCCAAACCAAATACCAAGGCACCCACGCAAGGACATTTTTCTTTTGTCTCCTCCCATCACCTGATCGAGAAGACCATGATGTCATCCAGATCTGTCATTTATACGTGATATGATAAATCGTTTTTCGTGGGCGGAATTGATTATTGAGGCTAGAAAAGGCGGACAGGTGTGCGGTTTGCGGCACACCGCGGCGATCAACTTGAAGACGGCCCTACTCCGAGATCTTCACCGACCGCAGACGCTTCACCACAGCGGGGGTCGGACGGACCGGACGAGGGGAGCGCTTTTCATCCGACATCTCCGACAGCCGACGCTTTTCCTACCACTCATCGCACCGATCACCTGAACAGAGCCCAGCAACCTGCAACTGTGAGTAAAGTACACTGTGCCGCCGTACGAATCTCCATTCAGATCTATCGGGAGCAAGGCACTATCCAACTATCCGGGGGCCAACTGGATACTGCCTGACTGTTAGGGTAGTGCCTTGCCCCCGACAGATCTGCTTGGAGGTTGAACGTTAATACGTTTATACTGTTGCATGTGCTGCTTACTTTAGCTAGGGCAGTTTTTCATGGTAAATATAGCACGCATGTTACACGGTTGCAATTGGATCCCCGGACGACCCAAAACTGTATTTTATAGATATCATACCCACCTGAGAAAAAACAGAGTTTAATGCGAATTTTGCCCAAATTTAATTTGGTGTCCCTAAACAAAAAACACCATCAATTCCAACGTTCTAATCCATTTTCGAAAGCGGTGCACCCGAAACGCGTTCGAATTATTCTATGGAAAGTCTGGAAGCCTGTGTGATAACCAAATAGAAGCTCGGGCTGTACCGCTAGTTACCTCACGGGCCCGGGCCAGAACACCCGTGTCCTACGTTATCGCCGCCCAGGTCTGACTTTTCAGTATGTTGTTATCAAGCTTGTTACTTCAACTTCCACTTCTATCGTGCTTTACGTTCCCGTAGTAGCAGTTCATTAGCATGCCATTATTTCCGAAGCCGTCCGTAACAAACGCGGGTAGACGTCATTTACATGGGGCTCTCCCAATTTGGGAGAAGAATTTATCCACGCAAACGCGATTGCAACGAAAACGCCAGCGCTACCATATGTAATATGCTTGCCTCATTCTGTGTGAATTGTGAAAGTGTAACTTTTTTTATATTTGCTTACCGCTCACTTCCTTATTCTAGTCCTTACTCAGAACATCTAGATAATATTTTACCACCGACTTCTGTGTGTTTTTGTATTTTGAACTTTGTCCTATTCATGACCTACTTTTTCATATTTTGTTTCATGTCGTCCCATTAATATTTCGCATATTTAACACTAGTACGCCGAAGCAGGTGAGGGTCATACATGTAGTTCCGTAACCGTTTAGCCTCGCTGTGTAGGGGAGACTTCAATCTTAAAAGTCTGCACGTACAATACTAGTACCTTCCTTCCCCGTACTGACTTGAAAACTGTGGCGATAGAAATTATTTCTAGCCGTCCTATCTCAGTTTCCAGCCCTGTCTCAGCTAGCTGGGACATGGTCTCCAAGTGTGTACCCAGTCATGTAGCTCTTGTTTACCAACCGTCAGATGTCCCTCTGTGAGATTTTAGTTTTATGTTGCCCAGGTGTACTAAACTTGGTAGCCACACACAAACACTGTGGTTCTCTCCAATTAGCGGTTTAGATTATGGCTTATTCTTTGACGTGTTTTAGACGATTTTGTCGGGCTTTCTTTTTTGTACTGGTATCTTTCTTTGTCGCAAGCCAGCGGTGGCGTATTGAATACTTTATTGCCAATTTTATACTGTATTGCCAATTTGATACGATCGTGTAGCCTCCAAAAGATCTGCTTGGAGATTGTGGCGCGTGGCGCGCTGGTCCAGATGACAATAAATTTAGTGCATGTCTGGTACATGTCTGTATGTATACACTCTCCAAACCAAATACCAAGGCACCCACGCGAGGACCTTTTTCTTTTGTCACCTCCCACCACCCGCTTGAGAGAACCATTATGCCACACTTTTAAAAACCGGTTGAAACCGCAAAATAATTAGCGGGGGAAAGCCGGCTAATGTTTATTAGGATATGTCATTTTTACGCGATACATGTACTAGTATGTCGAGGACGGAATTAATTATTGAGGCTAGAAAAGGCGGACAGGTGTGCGGTTTGCGGCACACCGCGGCGATCAATTTTAAGACGTCCCTACTCCGAGATCACCAATTTGATAACCCAGGGACCCAGACTAGTATCGGGCCGTTAGACGTTTTCCTTCGGCAGCCAAAGCCCTTCTCCCGCCTATCTAAATTACCGCTACGCGGGAGTTTAGCCCCGGGTGAGTTTGGCGGGACAGTCAAACCTAGGCCTGCCAAGGTGACCACCTATTCAAGCTGGCCACCTGGCCATATGGTGACCGCTTTTTCTCGGTGCCGATAATGTTCCCCATTGACGCAAGCATTGTGCAACCTGGCTAAGGTGACCACCTTGCCAACGTGACCACTACCGCCCTGACTTGGGTCCGCTCAAGGCCCGATACCTGCTCGTGGTGACCACGTCCATTTTCGAGCTTTATTGATGATGTCTAATGAGAAATCATGGAGAAACCAGCCAGTTTGCCTTGACTGCTGGATGATGTTTTTGTTCGACGTAAATTGTTCCATGTGCCACCCTCCCTCCCCATATGCATATACCACAAAATTGAAGACGCTTACAGCATTTGACATTAAAATATCTCGACTTTGAAACTATTTATGTCTCAGTCATGTTGTGAGGCGACCCTCTTCACGGTAACCAGCTGTGCAGGGTAACCACTTTTCTTCGGTCCCTGGTTGGCCGGTTCGGACAGGTTTGACTGGGCCGGCCAAACTTCCCCCGGGCTCAACTCCCCCGCGATAATTTAGATAGGCGGGCGAAGGGCTCTTGGCTGCCGAAAGAAAACGGCCAACGGCCCGATACTAGTCTAGGGGACAGGGTTACAATTTGATACTCTCATGTAGACACCAAAAAGATCTGCTTGGAGGTTTTAATTTCAATTTTTGTTAAAACACTGGCGCAGTGGCCCAGATGAGACGTTTCTGGCAATGGTTTGAAGCATAATTTCTTTGAATCAAAGCTAAGCTCTTGCACGTCCCATGGCACCGAGCCCCCAGGAATGTTGGCGTGATTTTCGCTCCACAGTGAACTTGTTCTCTCCACAGTGGAGTGACGGACTGAGAGTGATGCACAGGTGTATTCGCGCGATCCGTAAAACATTGACCAATCTCCCAGCCTGACTCAATTTTTGTCGCAGTCCGCATAGTATCGATTTGGTCTGGATGCAGTAAGGGCTTGTTTTCATTTAAACAGTTTAGTGCATGGATTGTGGATTGTTCGCCTTATTATTTGTACCCACGCTGAAAACATACATGTATTTCAACCCATATCGTGCCCTGAGGCGGCGGATCTGAGGAGCAGCGGATAGCGCGAAGGGGGCGTGAGTCGGGGACGGGTGTCACTAGCCTCCTGTGCGGGGGGTGGGAAGTAGTTTTTAACGCGTTATTTTAATAGCCGGCCATCCTACAACCAGCTACCGGGAGAAGGATCCAGCGGGTCATGGTGGTTGGTTATACGATGGCCGGCTATCATAGATTAAAATAACGCGTTAAAAGCTCTTTTCCACCCGTCGCGGGGCCTGCACAGGAGGCTAGTATCACCCACCTGCGCACGCGTAACCTCTCCGTGCATGGCTACACGAGTTTGGCCCCAGGGTACCCATGTCGTCGCGGCATGTCGCAAGTTGCAGACATGTATTGTCTAGAACCATTGCCGAAGGGGAAAGCTTATTGAACCTTACTGTTAGTGGCTAAAAATGGGCGGTACTAGTCCAGGGTTTGTTTCCCAAAACGTTACGTAGGACAAATCCTATGAAAGGCAACCATGAACATGTTTTATAATTCGTAGGTACCTCCCAGTGTTTTATAATTCTTAGGTACCTCCCAGTTTTTAGACTTCTTAAGTACCCCCCCCCCCCAGTATTTTAGAATTCTCAGGTACCTCCCAGTGTTTTAGAATTCTTAGGTACATACCAGGGCTACGTCACGATGTCGACAGAATTCTGTTGTGTTACGATTCTTTTAAACTTCGCGTGTGCCACACGTGTGTGTGCGCGTGTCAGCAGTGTACTCGTGCCCGTTTATTTTCGGATCCTGGGGCCTTAGGGCTGTTACTTTGAAAAGCAACGAGGCAGATCCTTGAACTGATGCATAGTATTAACCTCTTAACCCGTCAAGCTGCATTAGTTCTAGAAGCCTTGCAGGTAACTGCACGTGCGTTAGAGAAGGTCACCTATTACCAGGCCGGCACACCGCGCTATTATAGCGGTTTGAAGATTAACTACGTTTAAGACTACACAGATCATGAACTTTCTTGTAACGCCAGGCATTGTGAACCTTATGTGGGTAATGAAAGAATTAGCGATTGTACACGTGAGGCATTTCATCTCAAGAACTGAATAGTTAGAACTTTTCAGTGATTTTGTCATATCCGTAACCCTTCTTGGCTTTCGATTTTAACGTTTCTTTCAAACAAAACTAATGTAACTGCTTTCGTTAAAACATGTGTACACAGAAATATAACCATTACCCGCATCGCCTGTTTCTCACACTGGAGTATGATTACACGGGTAGAACGAATTGTGACAAGTTCTAGTGTTTCATTTCCACTCCATATGACCTTTATTCCAGGCGAGCTAACCTGGATACAAAATGGACAGCCGGGTGTCGATACCTGCATGGCTGGTAGTTCTCATCCTGATGGGAACTGGTGTGACTGGTCTAGGTAACATAATTCTTATTCCATACTACATTTGTATTTGATTTCGAGTTTGTTGCGGTCTATAATAGTTATTGTGTATAGGTTAACTTCTCATAACCGTAAGGATTTTTTTAGCATGGATAAATCTTCCAACATGAATCAAATTTCAAGAAATTATGATTTTCGGAAGACGGCGCCCCATGATATGTGTGTTGCAGTAATTCACTATTTCCCTACCCCGCATTTTTTCGTAATTTAGTGTGATTTTTATAAAACTTCGGACTTAATTTTATCCTTATCAATAACAGAATTTTCTCTCATCGCTTTGAACACTGTATTAATCATTTAAAGATAGACTAAACCAAAAGCATTTCGATTTCAACAGATTGCCCCTCTGATTACACTCCATACGGAGATTGGTGCTTCAAGTGGTATGGTGAATTTACACCGTACATCGAGGCCAGACAGGTCTGTGCAAACGACAGCGGGTTTTTGGCCATGACGAAGGACAACGACGTGCACGAATTCTTGGTGAATAATGTCGCAGATCCAAATTCACCAACATACTGGATCGGTCTGAGCGACCTGGCCACCGAGGGTGTGTGGTTGTGGGAGGATGGAACTCCACATGACAAAAATGCTGACTACAACCGCTGGCTTCCAGGAGAACCTAACAACGAAGGCGAGGAAGACTGCACATACATCGAAGGGGGTAGTCGTGGATGGAATGACTGGAAATGTCACAATACACGTCCATTCATCTGTCAACTGCTCGGTATGTCACGTAATATGTAACGTTCGTAAAGGTTTCTCTTGACGGCGAACTGGTTATTGTCTTGGTTAACTTTTTTTTGGTCAATTTTTTTTTAATGTTGTGTTTGTATCCACAGGCCCCTGCGTCCCCAACCCTTGCCAGAATGGTGGAGTGTGCACCGTTAGTGGAGATTCCTACACCTGTGAGTGTGCGGAAGGATCAGAAGGACCCAACTGTGAAATTGGTTAGCGACTTTTTGTATCTCGGAATACATCTTATCTATTTGACCATGTGCCGTAGAGCACTCATGCCATTGACATTAGTACTGGTCAAACTAGTAGGCAATTTGGCCCATTTTCCAACAACTGGCCAATTGTTATACGGTGCTGGCTCAGATAAAAAAACTGAAATGCAGTTCCGTCATCAGGGATCTCTTGATGGATATATACTTAACTGTCTAGCCTTTCCAAGGGGGAAATGCGCTCAAGAATAGCACACAATATCATGAACATATACCAACAGATCAAGACCTCATCCCTACCTACAGACTTACCAGGGGAGTCCATAAGTAGAATTTTCTCTTATGATTTTCTACACTGTTTACATTCCCAGTTTTTTTAACTTAAATAAAAAAAATGTATCCCAATTCCAACAGGTTGCCCTTCTGATTATACTCCATTTGAGGGTGCTTGCGCTAAGGCGTACGACGTCTCCAAAAGCTACTACGACGCCAGACAGGTGTGTGCAGACGACGGCGGGCTTATGGCCATGCCGAAGGACAACATTGTACACTACGCTCTGTTGCCTCTGCTCGGCTCACTTGAACGTTCCCATTACTGGATCGGTTTGAGCGACATGGAGACGGAGGGCGTGTGGAAGTGGGAGGATGGGACTCTATTGGACCTGAACAACATGTACCATCGCTTTTGGCCAGGCTACCCCAACGGAGGCGACAGCGAGGACTGCGCACACTATCATTATGGTCCATCTGCTGATTGGACCGACGTGCCTTGCCCATGGAATCTATACTTCATCTGCCAACTGAGTCAAGGTATGTTATGTCACAATCTTGAATGGTTATTTGATAAACAATATACCAAAAAAACTTTAAATGGTTAACGTGACAAATAACATACCTGAACAACATACCTGAACTTTTCAATAGTTTCACATATTTACTAAATCACGGAATTTTTTTAAACTCAATTAATCAAATCCTGTAATTATAGGCAAAGACCTCTGTAACCCCAACCCTTGCCAAAATGGTGGAGTGTGCACCGACGACAGTTACGTCTACACCTGTGAGTGTGCAGATGGTTGGAACGGGCGGAACTGCGAAGGAAGTAAGATTTTACGTCATCTTTTTAATTAGCTGTTGCCATTAAGTTCTGTTTGTTATGGACTAAGTAGCTCATACCTCGTGTCCTCATAGTCTGAAAGTGGGAGTCTGCAAACCATTTGTATCTGTTAATTCAGACAAAGTTATTTCTGATACAAAAAAACCTTTCTCGACAAATCTGATAGCATTGTGTTTTATTATGTTCTGTTGCTATACATGTAGCAGTCTGTGAAAGAAGAAATCTGGCAAGTTCTAACATAAGGAGATAAGTTCAATAACTCCGATATTTCAACAGATTGCCCTTTCGGATACACCCCGCATGGGGGCGGGTGCTACAAAGCGTACGACGAAACCAAAACTTACAGCGAGGCCAGACAGGTCTGTGCAGACGACGGCGGGACTTTGGCCATGCCGAAAGACAGCGACGTGCACGAATTCTTGGTGAGAATGAGGAACCCAGTTGGATGGAGGGCTTACTGGATTGGTCTGAACGACCTGGCCACTGAGGGTGTGTGGATGTGGGAGGATGGAACTCCACATGACACAACAGCTGACTACAACCGCTGGCGTTCGGGAGAACCCGGCGACCAGAACGGGAATGGAGACTGCGCAATATACACCGACGATATAGCGGCTGAATGGAGAGACATCCTGTGCTCTGATTCTACAAGGTTCTTCTGCCAAATAACAATGGAAACAGGTATGTCTTCTATGATTCTTTAAATGTTGTCTTGGCATTAAGTAGATCATATCCTAGGGAATCTTTTGCTAATGCATGTATGTGTGACAAAATGATTGCTAAATCTTAATGAATCGTCTTATCTTTGGGCGAATACATAGGCTTCTTATTTATCTCTACCAGTTCCAGTTCAATTTATCTTTTCCAGCTACCCTTTTTTCATCAGTTGTGGCAATTACATGATGGTGTCATTTGTGTAAAAATCTAGTTTTCGTCCTTCTCCTTTTCTTTCTTGAATGTTTGCAATGTATTCTTGCAATTTGTACTCAATTGAAAACTATGTTACTTTTTTCATCAATGTGTAACTTCCATCAACGTTTCTCCGCCGGGTTACACGCATTTCTATATCGACCACACTGAAAAACATAGCGTTTGAGACACGCAGTTTACTGGGGGCGTGGATCTGTCTTCAAAGTTGTCCAGGGTGGCGTATACATGTGACATGTTTGATATTTCATAACCCAATGTCCCATAGGTTTGTTTAGCGCTGTTAATTTGGATTCTTTGTATCCACAGATGTCGATGAATGTACAGATGGCTCACACAACTGTCACCAGCAAGCAACTTGTACTAACACAAACGGTGGGTTCACCTGTGCCTGTAACAGCGGTTACAGCGGGAACGGAGTCAACTGTACCGGTAAGGTCATTGAGTTTGGTTGTACATCAGTAAAAAGTTAAGTTTTAACTTAACGATTCGGATTAACTCCACTGACATCCATTTCACATTGTCTCATAAGTTTGTTGAGCGCAATTCCCGTTTCATTTGACAGCACAAATTCACAATTGTATAGGTTTTTGTTTAGCTTTGTTAATTTGGATTCTTTGTATCCACAGATGTCGATGAATGTGCAGAAGACTCAGACAACTGCCACCTGCAAGCAACCTGTACTAACACAGACGGTGGGTTCACCTGTGCCTGTAACAGCGGTTACAACGGGAACGGAGTCACCTGTACCGGTAAGATCATTGAGTTCGGTTACACATCATCAGGATAACATTGAGTTTTAAGTTAATGATTTGGATTAACACTGTTTTATTTGACAGCACAACCCTCTCATGGGTTTTGTTTAGCGTCTTTGTCGTTTCATTTTACATCAAAGATGTACAATCGCATAGGTTTGTGTAGCGCTGTTAATTTGGATTCTTTGTATCCACAGATGCCGATGAATGTACAGATGGCTCACACAACTGTCACCAGCAAGCAACCTGTACTAACACAGACGGTGGGTTCACCTGTGCCTGTAACAGCGGTTACAACGGGGACGGAGTCAACTGTACCGGTATGGAATACCCCTCCACTTTGTACATGTAAAAATACACTCTTCTATTTGCCTAATATATACAGAGACGAAGCACGTAGCAAAAACATCCTGGGTCTACAGAGTTCCATATGCTGATGGACCGATGGACCACAAAGTAATTTAATGTTTGAAACTGTTAAAATTCTCACTTAGGGTTTCTTTCACATACACATCATGTCTTGCTAGTATGCACATGTTCGCTGCCTATGGAGGCATCTACTTTGTAATTTTCTTGACAGGTTTGTCTGACCTGACCTTCACCGATGTGGAGATGGACTACATGATCCTGTCCTGGACGGCGCCCGCCGGGGTGTCACGGTACCGACTTCGTTATAGTCATGCCGGGGCTTCGTACCAGGACCTGTCTCCCCCGCCAGCACCGAGCGACACCACGGCCACCGTACCTGGACTGTTGGCAGACACAGAGTACACCTTCACCCTGACTGCGTTTGGAGCTGACGGCGAGGAAATAGGGGAGATCAGCGGGACAGAGACAACAGGTTGGTCGATACAATATGGCGTGGATGGAGAACAAGCTTAGGTCTTCCAACGCATGACTAAAGAAAGTCTACAGCTTCCTTCGTCCTAATAAAAGGAAATTCAGTAAATACTTCACTGTGTTGTTGACATAGATGATAATTTAGTCATTATGAATGCATGTATAGGAAAGACTCTGCTCACTCTGCACGGATAACGTTTTCAGATGAGGTTATCGTGAATGTGGAGTGCTATGAGGACTACATGACCGTGACCTTCCCCAGAGGGCTGCTAGAAGCTTCAGGGGTCACTTTGGACTTGCACTTGTTGGATGACAGCTGCCGTTCGACAGTTACCGACCAGTTTGTGACTCTTGTGGCCCCCCTTCAATCCTGCGGGACGATACAGGATGTAAGTACATGATGGTCACAGGCAGAACAAAAATACATGGGGTGAGCGGGATTGCTATACAAGTGCCTATCAAGTTACTATCAATGCCTAAATTGATAGAATGGCATTTCGTAACATATACGTACTGTTTATGTATCATTCATTACGTTTCGTCGCATTTCCCTTATTTTCACAGTCGTCAGAAGATGACAAATTCGTCTTCACTAACGAGGCCATCGGCAGTCAGGAAACGGCTGATAACGGCGCTGTGAGGGGAACGCCCTTCAGTAAGAGGTTCCAGTGTGAGTTCGTCCGTCAGTACGTGGTCTCACAGGGAAGGCAGATCATGTACAACATTCCACTTCCTCGGTAAGACTTGCCATACATGTCACTACATACACAACTGCACATGCACTAGGGCTGATTTGTTACAATCATCATCAACATTACAGTGTCAGTAAAGTTAGGCTCCTAAAAACTCAAGGCATCGCTCATAAACAGATAATCCATGTTAGTGCTGGATTTTCTACTGATGAGATACAAAATCCTTGGTTAGAATCAAGATACATTCATTCTCTTCTTATCACCAATCCGTATGGTTATCTATCTGTACAGTGTGCAAGTCGTGGACGGAGAAACCAGTTTCACCTTCGAGATGCACATGTATACATCTAGTGACTTTACTGCTACATATGAGTCACCCGACTTCCCTTTGCAGGTGAAATACTTCCTTCCTAACTACTTATGTCTTACAAGTCCAAACCATGCTCCAAACTCCCGTTGTGCCCAGGCCTAGGCTGGGTGCCTCATCTTGTTCACAAATCAGCTGTAAGATAAACAATTTCGTTTCAGTCAAGCTATATCATACATATTGGTGTACTAAAGGCACAATAATCACATGTTTCGCCTTACTGGTTCTTCTTCCAACGCAACACGACCGTTTTATTTTATTTCTCCATGGTTAGGTGTCCTCATCTGACCATCTGAACTTCGGATTGAGCGTGAAATCCCCGCTGAACAACCTGCAGCTGTTCGCTCTCCACTGCCTGGCCACACCGACTACCGACCCTGCTGCCACCCCAAGCGTCAGCATCATTCAAGACGGGTATGTCCTGTTCAGATACTTCCCTTACATCACAGGTACCAACATTGGGTACAAGGGTTAAACTCACATGTTCTCAATTGAAAACCACTAGTAGAATAAAACGTCTGCCTTTCTTTAACAGCGGCGATTGAATAATCATCTGTGGCATTCATGATCACTTCTCTCCTCTAGGTGTGACATCGACCCAACGCTTCAACTGGACAGTACACTGTCTAACGACATGGCCTTATACTACTCTATCCAATCATTTACCTTCCCCAACGTTGACGATCCTAGCCTGGTAAATATGAAATAAAGAGACATGTAAACTTTGGTTTGATGGTGGGCTGTGTTGACTGTCAGCTCAAATTTGATTTCCCTTTTATTTCAGATATAAGGTGGTGATCTCTTAATAGGTGTAATGTGTGTCCTGAACGCTGCTCAATGCTTTTTGTTCAATTCTTCCAAGCCAGCAAAAACAGTTCGCATCTGAAAGGGTTGCAAATAATCATATGTCAGAGAGGGCAGTTTCTCGTCTCTAGCTGTACATCTCTATATCATGTCTCCTTCATTGCTCTCTGGAACATTTCTTTGTGCCTGAATATTTGTCTATGCTACTTCGTGGTATTTGGGTACATTGAAAGGCACGACGGTGCACAAGATTCATGCAGATGTTATCGTTACCCCGCGCCAGGTGTACATCCACTGCACCATGGTAGTCTGCTTCAAAGACGACACGAACTCACGGTGCAGCCAGGGCTGTGTCCTCCCAGCACGACGCAGGCGCGCCGTGTCTGACGAGAGCGAGGCCCGAGTGCGACGTGCGAGTGAAAATGACCACCAGGCCGACATCATGCAGGGACCCTTCGCAGTTAAGGGGGGACAAAACCAAGGTAGATGTTGTACAGTGGTTTTTCTGTGCCTCTAGTTCATAACCACATTTCTTTTTCATGATTCTTTTGCGAAGATACTACGTAATCTCAAGGGCTAGGTGGGAGCTATTCTGAACGCTTCCCTAGAATCATTTTCCTTGCGTTCTAACTTAAAATGCAGCAGATCTCGACAAAGAGTTGTCCGTACAGTTTTATCATTTGCAACTTGATAAGCTTCAGTTCATAATAGTGCTTATACAGTTCTGACAGTGCAGATGCATGCGCACTAGTTTAAAGTGAGGGAAGTAGACAGTATAAATATCAACAGTTATATCTCTGTGCCGTTCCACAGCCTCCACCGTCCCCACTGTCGGCATCGCTGTGGGGATAGTTGCGGGGATAGCCGGCGCCCTCCTGGTGGTATTTGCCGTCTTGCTGGTGAGGAAGAGACGTGGTCGTGACGCCAAGGAGCAGGCTGAGGATCGTGTCGGTGAGTAAGATATCCATGTACAAAATCTCTTGGTAAATACTACACTGTACATAATGTATCTCTTGATCAAAGTATGTCTGTTCATTCAGTAAGTCAACATGGTACTAGTAATGTACAATGCATAGATTTCAATGCCTCTAGTATAGTCAATTTTGTGTATTCCGTCATTTGGTAACATTTTAAGGCCACAGATCGATTCAACTGAGCAAACAACAATTAGCCTATACTAGCAATTGAATTAGACACGATAAGCATTGGTTTATCCACCACGGTTTGGTTCTTTTCTCAATTTTTATTTTTATTTCCTTTCAGGTTTTGACAACTATTCGCTTGAGCTCTGGGGAAAGGACAAGGCTGCCAACGGCACCCCTAAACCTGAGTAGTCGTGTTTTGTGTGAGGCTCGAAATGTCAGCATGAGCGGTGTTCGTGGATAGCAATCCAAATTTCTCTCCCTCCCTCTCCTCTCACTCCATTTCTCTTTCTCTTTATCTATCTTACACGCATACGCACAGGCGCACTCACGCACGCACACACACACACACACACACACACACACACACACACACACTCATACTCATTCATTCTTTCTGCTCATCTTGAACCATGTTTTTTTCTTTATCATTCTTCCTTCGCAATCTACAGAACTTATTTTTCATTCTTTATCTCTTTTGAACGGTATCATATGCACATATATTCATAGAAAATCCTGTTGGAATTTAGGTAGGAAAGCTGACATCTGTTAAAATGGCAATTTTGATGGCGAAATCAATCAATAAAACATAATCAATCAATCAATCAATCAAAACACAACATTGAAGAACATTCCACAACATTTAATTTGTAACGTTATATTGCGAAAATTTCAAATCTGTCAAAGGACCAAATATGTAAAAGACCACGTTTGGCGGACGACATATAAACAGACCACCTGAGACACACCCCGGCATTTAATGCTTGGACTGTCAGTCCATCGAACGAAAAACAAGTCCTTGATTAGATGATAGATAGATGTAAAATGTCTCGAATGCTACACAAAAATCATCATAACACAAACACGGTAAAGACGTTCGTTATACTGTAAGTGTTAGGAAGCAGTTGTCAGCTGAACAAAAAATGAAAAAAAAAACGCCGGTGCTTTACGGTACCATTCCTGCCACCACCGTGTGACAGACATGACGACCAGCATGTCCCACCTGTTAGAGACACAACCTCAGAGTCCTGTGGGGAATATTTTGAAAGGCTTATCAAGAATTTGAGTCTGACATGGTGGCCGTCATATCTGCAATTGACAACCGTCAGATTAAGGAGAAAGATAAAAGAGGATAGGATTGAAAATGGCCGAAGGGCAGTGAGACTGGTTGTCAAACATTGTGGAATAATCGGCTATTAAGGTTTCATAACATGTAATACTATGCAAATTATATGTATACCTGCCAAGTCTAAATAGTCATATATTAACATTAACTTTGTTATCATAAAGATGGGACACTGTTATCACTTAAGGTGTCCTCCCTGGCTAATTTGGCATTTTAGCTTTCCATCGTTTTCTCACAAAGAAATTTAGAAAGAACTGTAGTTGTACTGAATATTGATACCTGGGTACAAAAGGGTTATGAATATGATTTTTTGGACCATATGGATGACGTCATCACATTTTATTGCCCCAAATGTGATTATCTTTAAAGTTATAATATAGCACTTTGGTACAAGTAACTGAAATAAAAGTATGATTTTCATGTGCATAAAGGTCAAAGCTACAAACGTACCTTTGCGCAAACTGATATCTACTAATTATCCGTAGTTATTAGAGAATAACTGAATTTTAATTAAGCAATTAGGTTTTTCTCTAATAACAACGGATAATTAGTAGATATCAATTTGTGCAAACGTACGTTTGTAGCTTTGACCATTATGCACATGAAAATCATACCTTTATTTCAGTTACTTGTACATGTACCAAAGTGCTATATTATAACTTTAACGATAATTACATTTGGGGCAATAAAATGTGATGACGTCATCCATATGGTCCAAAAATTATCTTCATAACCCTTTTGTACCCAGGTATCAATATTCAGTACAACCATAGTTCTTTCTAAATTTCTTTGTGAGAAAATGATGGAAAGTTTGAAATGCCAAATTAGCCAGGGATCGGAGGACACCTTAAGGCTATTAACATCAGTTTAGTGTATTATCTTGCTGTTAATTGATGTACTACTATAACATTTATCTTCCTGAGGTAGTTTAGTTGGAAAGACGCAGTGACGTTAAAAATATGGCTTCGCTTTAGTGAGTTGAGTGAGAACCAAATTGCTTACTTCAAGTGTAACGAACAATGTGCATTGTGCGGTATTTCTGTGGAAAACATAATCTACAATCTAATGTACATAGGTGCTGCGGAATGTTGTGTCAGGTATTTTTAGATATTTGCAGACATCTCTACTTGAAGATAAGGTAGACCCACCGTCATTTTTGTATAAACAGTAGAAGTTATGTCTTAACCTACACCTAAAACTGATCGTTTACTTACATACATTTACATTTGCTTTCAAGGCTTTTCAATACATCTGCAGTTTTGGTACCACACACATGTGTTTGTCATTTTTTGTGTCGATAATCGATAATGAATAGTCTCAGAAGTTCAACCGAAAGAATACAGGTCAAAAGCTGACCTCTCTGCTCATTTTTGAAAATTGTGACGTTTTACGGTATTTCACGTGAAGTAGAACGGTAAGCCTACGCACGTGGAAAAACGGTAAGCTTACTTATGAGGAAAAGAGTTGGAATATCTTGGAGGGGGCAACAGACACATATCCAAATGTCATAAGCCTAGATGTCATGCGTTAAAACGTTACAAACTCGATATAATTTATATTCAAAGTGAAAACATGCCATCTGTTGAGATTGCAGTTTAATTGTTAACGTTACACTGCCAACGTAAATCTTTTAGAAAGTGCCATTATGTCGACCAAGTTAATCAGAAATGGCAGACTTCACCCTTTAACTATAGCAGTTTCTTCACTCCCTGGTGTTGAAGTAAATAACTTAACTTTGTGCTTGCATTCTGAAGCCCTTCGGCAGACCCGCCTATAAAGCCTGTCCAGTCAGGTGGAAACTTGATGGTTGACAGATGGCCCCGATGGCAAGCCTTACCTAGGGAGCAAAAGTGTTGTGAATGGTAGTTAGGTGAAAAAAAGCCCCTTAACAATTTGATCTCCCACACTCACACTTTACCAGTGTGGTTAATATTGAACCGTTTAGGTCCATACTTACGCAGATTGATCCCTTTGCTGTGTCTTCTATATACGACGAGCTGTCAGCGGTAAACACTAACGCGTCACGTGTCAACACTGCCAACACTGGTGACCTTGATGAGGGAACATGGCGGCAGGCGACCTTTGTGCAAAACTTGAGAGACTGGTTTTCAGTCAGATGTATTTTTTACTACACAGTGATGCCATCTAGCAGTCCTTTCTAGTAACCCATGGCCAGAATCGGGTCTTGAAACACTAACTGGCGTAATGTCTGTAATCCTAGCTAGACAAGTTCGTGGCATATTCCGAACGAATTTGTGTCCAGTGCCTTTAGCCATGATAAACTTCGGCCAATAACTATCATTGCCACAGGAAATTACCCTTTTCAACTGGGTCTTTTCTTTACGTAGGACTCCCAACAACGGCATGTGAATCGGTGAGGATGCTGACATCCTTATAATGTTGTTACTGACGACTCTTCCCTATTCAGGCCACTAAAACCGACTGACCTACAAACCATAATGTAATAACTACGCCATAGAGCAGCAGTATTTGTTGCTCACATCCCATATAATGAAGTATTTTAGTCGAAGACACAGCCATAAAGCAAAGTTCATCAGTCCTTGCGTGAGAGGATTCACCGTCCTTTCAAAAGGCGTTTGTCCTTTTGGGGTTTCACAGGGAAACCACACATTATCACATCGTTTGGGACAGGCTGCTATGTCAATAGTCATTCAATTATGACAACAATAGCGTTGCGCACGCAAGGCCATTTAGGCTAATGTCAGGGGACATAACGACGTCAGTGTACTTTATTATGTGGTGTCCCTACTTGCCGTTGGACGAAGGAACTGGCTTCCGTTGTAATGGTTGTAACAAGGAAGCTATTCTGGAATAGAGAAAAACAAGGAAGATACACTGGAACACATAAAAACGTATGTACACTACTTCTATTTGACGGTATTTCGTGTCTAGCGGATGGAGGGCATTGTTAGGACTCCTCTGCACGTCCTTGGACCGTATGCCGTGACGACATACATGTACCCACAGACATGTGACAGCGTGGTTCTGTTCGCTTTTGTTCTGTCAACAATGTCAAGGATAAATCAGTTTAGGTCGTGATTTTATTTGATTGATGACAAGAAAACAAGTAAAGCCCCTGTTGTCACACATTCACGAATTTGGCCGAGCGCTAGCCGAACGCCCCCCAACCATGGTCGCCACAAAATCGGCTATTTTTTGGCGAATTCGGCCACTATTTCAGCCGAATATTTAAAAATGTTTAGAATCATTTGGGGGGTAGGTCGGAAGGTTGGATCATAGTTGGCTGCTGCTCGGCTGTAAGTTAGCAAAACACCCGACAACCGTTCGGGAGTAAGCCAGCAGTGTTCCTGTCGTGTTTGGGGTGTCAAATGTGACTCAAATTTAACTCAAATTCGTTTCAATTCACATAGAAAGGTAGGCTTGGCTTAAATCTGGTCAGAGTGTTCCCGAAGGTCCCGAATTTGTTCGGGATCAAATTCGGGAGAAAGTCTTAAATGTGTGACAGGGGCAAATGGTCTAGTATTACTAACCACTATTGGATGGTCATTGGTCAGGCTGACGAGTGGACAGGCTTGACCACAGGGTGGTCTGGTGAACTCGGTGGTTCATGTCTACTATCAGCGACTTTACTGTGTTACGGGCTTGATTGTGAACAGACGCCTGGCAACATGCCAGATTTATGAATGTTTATGATCTAAATGATTCATAAAACGGTCTAACTATTCATCATCATGAATTTTGTAGTGAATTTTATTGAATTTTAAAGCATCATCGGGCTTGACGACTACATTTTATCTAGGGGAAATTAGTGGAACACTTGTGTGTTTTGTTGCATTGTACAAATACTGAGATATAATACTCAATGCTGTATCTTGAGGCGTACAGACAAGGAATGTGTACTGGTTATTTGTTCCTAAAAGCATAATGCAGTTCGTATATCCTGTTCAGCAACATCCCGATCGCGAATGCCTGAATGAAAGAATGTACAATTAACACAATAAACCGATATCAAAAGATCATTGTCTATCTTAGAAAACCCCCCCGTTAAGTCTAAATTCACGGTTGCCCACAAATGCCTTTAAAAATTTGATTTGATTTGATTTATTGAGATGCCCTTTAGCCCCATGAGGGGCTAATCTTCCAGGGCTCGTTAACAGTACAACACATAAAATACAACAGTACAACACATAAAATACAAGCACTGAATACATACAATCATTGCAATTACACATTAAAATAATTGAGGTTGAGGCCAGAGGTCATTTAACTAATTATGACTAAAATCAACAATAAAACTTGTGAGTTACTAAATTGCTTCGAATATATACAATATTGTCAGGGTAAGCCTTTAAGTTCCATAAAGCTGACGTGTCATTTTCCTGAACTGCCTCTCATCAGCTGCTAATACAGTAGTCTTAACTTCACTCGGTAATGCGTTCCACATCTTTACAGATCTGTAAACAAACATCCTCTTTCCACTATTGTTGTTAGGTTTGAGCAATGAGTAGTCGTGCACTGATTACCTAGTGGAATACCTGTGAGACGCATGAACTGGTACCAGAGATTTATAGATCTCCTGTGGCTCACTTGTGGTTACAATCTTGAAAAATAACTTAAGAGTACTGACATCAAATCTATTTCT